CTGGCAGAGTGTGTGTCTGTATGTGTGAAACGGACATCCTGGTACACGGAGGCTTTTTTCCACAATAGGAAACTTTTTACACATGCACTCATGAATACACACACACACACTTTTGGCTTTCTGCAAGATTGTCAGGGATCTAAATATTCCATCTAATCGCTCTGGCATTTTCCACACAGCTCTTCCAAACCTCAGACAGGCCGCATTTCTTCCACAACAACCAGATTACCAGTTTGAACCTGGACGAGAAACTATTTTCACTCACTCAGTAACCACAACTGAGGTGTCCTATAATAGGGCATCTCCAGTGGCGATGCTCAGTTAGCCCAAGCAAATGGAACTGTACACAGAGCTGTGTAAATCTGAGAGGAACTGCACATTAGCTGACCATTCTCTGCAGGTTTATCACTACAAGCGACCTCTTTCACAGCGTTAGCTCATAAAATGTTGATAAAAATGATCAATTATAGATGATTTTCAAAACATTTATTGTTCATCCCATTTTTCAAATCCTGAAAATATGAAGCTATGCAACAGCAGCAGTAAGAGGGTAGCAGCTCATTCACAGTTACTCCTGTAGCTGAATGGTCACAGCCGTGAACATTCCTGCAGTGGCTAAGAACAACTTGCATAGCATGTAAACACAGTGACAGCTAGCAGAAGGGTTGGCTACAGAGTCTGTCATGTCATTAACATTCAGACTTTATGTAATCTGTAACTGTGCATGTGACCATCCATCCATAAATGCAGAGCAACACTACATTTATGCCTGAGTAGCTGTTCAACGTCGCCGTGGCAACAGCATCACCTCTGTCCTCGCCTGCTGAAGCTCTTTATGTATCAGCGTCCTCTACCTCTCTCTTTCAATACAAGTCTGTTCATTTTTATTTCAGTAGCTGCTTTACTGACACAACAATGGTTTTCCCTGTATCACCAAACCTGGTGACAAGATAAACTGACTCATCCCACAGAGCACAATTTAGAAAATAATATTCCACATGAACAGAGGCTTTTCTCTCATTCAGTACTGCAGCTGCATAAATATCTGAAGACAGTCCACAATTGTGCAAGAAAAGAGTAAACTGAAAACAGCACAAGTCGTACTTTAGTGTGTGACAACATAAATGCACTTTACAGCTAAAACACCACAAATACACTTATTTAAATTCAAATAAATTCTATAAGCATATTAAACTTTTTCCATATAATAAACCTGGACTGTTAATGTCAAGTGGGAGCTCAGCCACAGTTTATCCTTTAATCAAATGACATGTAAAAACACTGAAAGGAAGCCACAAGGCAGGGTACATAGCTTGTCACGTTCCTGCAGTATTTTAGTTGTTGTTCCCTGTAATATAGATGTTTATTTATTTATTTATTTATTTCAAGCATGTAATAAAAGAGAGAAAAAGAAAAAAAGGAAATCAACATGTAACACAAAACAACCAAACCAATTACCATATACAACCAAAAAAAAAAAAGAAATTTCTCTTGATAATGCTTAGTCATTACATGCTTGCAAGGGAGTAGAAAGAAGTAATACTTATCTAGTTCTACCCCTACTGATCCAAACTATGGTTGACACAACCCAAATATTTAACTAAACAACTACACTGGTTAAGTTCCCGCAACCACCAAATTACTACATTCCTTCTAATCACAAATCACAATTACATAATTAGCAAACAAATGATAAACAATAAATTATTCATATCCCACCCATAAATACACCGATAATATCTTAATAAGATCATTACACTTCCTGTATCCGATACCCAGCTATGTAGGCCTTTTTATATTTATTCTTAAATTGTTTTACACTTGTACATTGTTTTAAATCATCACCCAATCTATTCCATAATTTTACACCACTCACAGATATACAAAAACTTTTCCTAGTTGTACGTATGGCCTGAGTTTTTAAATTTAAGTGGCCCCTCAATCCATAACCACCCTCTCGATCACCAAACAGACCCCGAATACCACTTGGCACCAAATTATATCTGACTTTATACATAAATACAGCAGATTTGTATTTTACTAAATCAAAAAATTTTAAAAATCCTGAATGTGCAAATGATGAATTCGTATGATCCCTATAACCAAGTCCATGAACAATTCTAATGGCCCTTTTCTGTAGTTTAAATAATGAGCATAATGCGCTTTTGTATGTATTTCCCCAACACTCAACACAGTAGTCCAAATAAGGTACAAACATAGAACAGTAAAGAGTATGGAGTGACTTCTGAGTCCCAGCGTCCGCAGCCTGGCCTTTCCCTCATCATTCCACCACTGACTGTTATTCACCTTCTGCGGCTTGACACCCGGTCCCACTTCAACCTGGTCATTCACTTCCTTGTAAGATATCACTGTAAATAAACCGAGCACTACTTGCACTGAAGTCAGCCACCTGGGTCCGTCCTTTTTTTGACTCGCTCACCTCTGTGTCTGAGTGGATCTAACAACCATTCACAGCCACTGTATCAGATGTTTGTAATATGGTTTCATTTCTTCCTTAGTTGAACAATCTAGGCAAAACAAAGAGGTGTACCATCAGTACCAGGAGCTTGCTTGAGTAAATGTACTTAGTTATTTTCCAAAACTACTGTGTTGTTGGTGTGGACTGTAATATAAAAAGGTGTTTCTGTGAAAAATGACCTGGGAGAACTGGGAGATCCTTTGTCAGGAGCCTTACATATATAAGCTTTAGCTGTACTTTAGTATTTTGTCAGCATTGTACAGTAGCTGAATAAACCTTTGTGAAGTTAGGCCTACATTGCACTACCTGCAGTAATTTTTACAGTGCCTTGCGAAAGTATTCGGCCCCCTTGAACTTTGCGACCTTTTGCCACATTTCAGGCTTCAAACATAAAGATATAAAACTGTAATTTTTTGTGAAGAATCAACAACAAGTGGGACACAATGATGAAGTGGAATGAAATTTATTGGATATTTCAAACTTTTTTAACAAATAAAAAACTGAATAATTGGGCGTGCAAAATTATTCAGCCCCTTTACTTTCAGTGCAGCAAACTCTCTCCAGAAGTTCAGTGAGGATCTCTGAATGATCCAATGTTGACCTAAATGACTAATGATGATAAATAGAATCCACCTGTGTGTAATCAAGTCTCCGTATAAATGCACCTGCACTGTGATAGTCTCAGAGGTCTGTTTAAAGCGCAGAGAGCATCATGAAGAACAAGGAACACACCAGGCAGGTCCGAGATACTGTTGTGGAGAAGTTTAAAGCCGGATTTGGATACAAAAAGATTTCCCAAGCTTTAAACATCCCAAGGAGCACTGTGCAAGCGATAATATTGAAATGGAAGGAGTATCAGACCACTGCAAATCTACCAAGACCTGGCCGTCCCTCTAAACTTTCAGCTCATACAAGGAGAAGACTGATCAGAGATGCAGCCAAGAGGCCCATGATCACTCTGGATGAACTGCAGAGATCTACAGCTGAGGTGGGAGACTCTGTCCATAGGACAACAATCAGTCGTATACTGCACAAATCTGGCCTTTATGGAAGAGTGGCAAGAAGAAAGCCATTTCTTAAAGATATCCATAAAAAGTGTCGTTTAAAGTTTGCCACAAGCCACCTGGGAGACACACCAAACATGTGGAAGAAGGTGCTCTGGTCAGATGAAACCAACATCGAACTTTTTGGCAACAATGCAAAACGTTATGTTTGGTGTAAAAGCAACACAGCTCATCACCCTGAACACACCATCCCCATTGTCAAACATGGTGGTGGCAGCATCATGGTTTGGGCCTGCTTTTCTTCAGCAGGGACCGGGAAGATGGTTAAAATTGATGGGAAGATGGATGGAGCCAAATACAGGACCATTCTGGAAGGAAACCTGATGGAGTCTGCAAAAGACCTGAGACTGGGACGGAGATTTGTCTTCCAACAAGACAATGATTCAAAACATAAAGCAAAATCTACAATGGAATGGTTCACAAATAAACATATCTAGGTGTTAGAATGGCCAAGTCAAAGTCCAGACCTGAATCCAATCGAGAATCTGTGGAAAGAACTGAAAGCTGCTGTTCACAAACGCTCTCCATCCAACCTCACTGAGCTCGAGCTGTTTTGCAAGGAGGCATGGGCAAAAATTTCAGTCTCTCGATGTGCAAAACTGATAGAGACATACCCCAAGTGACTTACAGCTGTAATCGCAGCAAAAGGTGGCGCTACAAAGTATTAACTCAAGGGGGCTGAATAATTTTGCACGCCCAATTTTTCAGTTTTTTATTTGTTAAAAAAGTTTGAAATATCCAATAAATTTCGTTCCACTTCATGATTGTGTCCCACTTGTTGATTCTTCACAAAAAATTACAATTTTATATCTTTATGTTTGAAGCCTGAAATGTGGCAAAAGGTCGCAAGGTTCAAGGGGGCCGAATACTTTCGCAAGGCACTGTATCGTTAATATACAGTATGAAAAGTTTAGGACCCAAAACTGACCCCTGTGGGACTCCACATACTATATCCAGAAAATCCGATTGGTGCACGCCCAGACTTACAAATTGCCGTCTGTTAGTCAAATAACTTTTTATCCATTTCAACACCAAACTTCTAATACCGTACCTTTCTAATTTATCAAATAAAATTTTTATACTGTGCCTCTTTACAGCATTATGTTCTAATGCCTTGTATCACCAGCATAATGTTTGTAACCTTAAGGAGGAATTTATCCTTCAAAACTTTACTGTCTGTACACATTAGCAGATCTCACTGCTGACATGTTTCATCATTGGGTTGGAGCTGTTGTATGCTTTACTGGGTCCACTATGTCAATATGCACACCACATTATGATTTTATGGTTTCTTTATCTTATCTGTACTCATGTAACCAATGTTTGTCTTTGTGTACTGTTTGTTCTCTGGGCCAGAGGTGAATCAAAAACATTGGTCATTAGTAAACTTATTACAAGCAAATAAACAAATAAAACAAGCTATATATTCTTTGTACTTATGCCGTACTCCCTTATAATACACAATACATTGGGGATAGATCACAGATCGCCCTCCCCTTTTGCATCATCATCATCATCACCATCATCATCATAACACGGAAGCAGTAAACAGGCAGAGAGGCTCCGACACGGGGAGGGGATTTAAGTAAAAAAGGGTCAAAGAGAAGCAGAAAGGTGGGAATAGGTGCAGAGAGGAAACGATAGAAAGGTAAACAAAGACAGAGAGCGAGCATCATGGCGCTGATCCCCTCGCAGGTTCTCCGGGTCGCCATCCTGCTGTCTTACTTCTCCATCCTGTGCCACTACAAAGCCTTAGACATGCCGGCGCACCAGACCTACGGAGGCAGCTGGAAGTTCCTGACCTTCATAGACCTGGTAAGAGCCAGTCATTTTATTTCAGCCCCAAACACCCCTGGGAAGTTAACTGCGAGCACGCCGCGCTGCAAAGCGGCGGAGTCGCTGCTTGGTGTTATGATCGGAGTTACATGAATAGTCAGCGATTCTCGCTCCCAGCCCTCGTTTTTAGGGGGTTTCATTTACCGGAAACGTAGGGGGTGATAAAATTGCAGTAGTTCGCGCTAACTTGAGTCTGGAGTCTGGTATGAAGCCTCCAACGTGGTTGGCTCAGTGTGTGGCGGTTGGAACAGGTGTTGTGGTGTAGACGGCACACTGCTACAAATGTTCTCCTGCTCGGGAGCGCGCAGCCTGTACACGATGACCGTTAAAAAGGGGGAGAGGCGTCATTTTTCTTCCATTCCAGATTTTATTTCTCCCTGTTTAGCAGAATTAGCTTTTTAAAATAAAAAAGATGTAATAGTTTCAAGATTCGAATAACTCAATTTAAAAAAACATTGTGCATCAACAAAGGCTATATTGTCAGAAGACAAGAATCAGAAGGATGAATCTGTATCAGCGCTTTATTTTCTGTTTCATATGGTTTACCCCCTTTTGTTTGTATCAATAGGTCCCCTACTTTCTACTACTACAGTCACACTAGTTACATCACTATATTCAGATGTGACTGTTTAGGGGAATATTCATTGCACCTCAGTGGTGGATAAGGTGCAACGTACAACGTACACAGCCAGTGTCAGGCTAAGGTTCATTTGCAGCCCTGGTTAGGCCTATGTCATACGCGAGCTATAGAGGCGGCTATAACACGCTGCCCTGCATTTTGACGGATGCAATAAACCTGTCATCCAACACGGGGCAGCCAGAGTCACTGGCCCACGGTCCTGGTCAGGTCACGTGATTTGGTAGGCAGAAATGAAATTGGCTACAGAAGAGGAGTGCATGAATTTACTGCCTCAAAATTGCCACAGGCAAAAGAAAAATGTTAAAGATGGTACATCTTTCCAGAAACACTCTTCACTGTCCACCACAGCCATTTATCCAGAATAATACTTGTGCTTGTTTTGCAAAAATTCATTTTATAGTTTACATGTAAACACACTACGACATTGGAGGAGCTGCGGTATCCACTGTTATAGGTCTGTCTCTGATGAGAAATTAAATTAGAGACTTTACATTATAATGTGCAGTAAAAATGGGAAGACACAAACACACAAAGCTCCCATTCATCCCCAACAATGCACGCACAAATGCCCTCACAAATAAGCTGTTCTGTTCAAGACCAATTCTATTAGCCAGTCACTGACAAACACAGCATGTCAAATTCAGCAATAAGCTCACACAGTGTTAGCGATAACAAGCTAACCACCTCGGACAAATGTTACTGCTTCTGTGGTGACTAGTGTTTGTATTTAAAGAACTGATGAGTCACTGTGTGTTGGGGTATCTTTGTATTTCTATTCATTTCAGTAGTATTTTAACCTCCATCCATCCATTTTCCTCCGCTTATCCGGGACTGGGTCGCGGGGGCAGCAGTCTAAGCAAAGATGCCCAGACCTCCCTCTCTCCAGACACTTCCTCCAGCTCCTCCGGGGGAATGCCGCGGCGTTCCCAGGCCAGCCGAGAGACATAGTCCCTCCAGCGTGTCCTGGGTCTTCCCCGGGGCCTCCTCCCGGTGGGACATGCCCGGAACACCTCCCTAGGAAGGCGCCCAGGAGGCATCCGAAAGAGATGCCCGAG